TTATATAATATTAGATTTATATTGGAAGCGCATTGGCCAATGTTTAACAATGTAATAAGAATACTGGCCTGAAACTGATACATTAGACCAATATTGTTAATCCAACAGCAGATATTATAAGCCAGTCGAGAATTAAGAAATAAAATTAAGTGTGGAAACGACCTTACTGGCACTTCTTCATTCAATTATTAAGGGCCAGTTTCACAAACATCGGTTATCTGTTAACTAGGGTTCAGTCAACTCCCTATCTTTTTCTATCTTGTTCTCTAAGAAGAGATAGAGAATCAATTAAACCGTCAGTTAGCAGTTAACCGACCTTTGTGAAACTGGCCCTAAGTCTACAACGTTTCGGCCAGTAACACTGGTCCTCTTCAGGTATAACGATCTTACACGAGTACCCGCAAATGTCTGAAGAACAGAAAGAGCTACGTATGAGCTATAATCTACGGTCTTGCGAAGTCAGGAGTCGGAATTAACCATCAAGTTGTTTTTATAATAAAAAAAAATTAATAAATATGTGTAATAAATTAAAATATAGAAATAAAAACGTACAAGGTACGTTCGAAATTTAATATTGTTAAATAGACATATTGGCTAAATAAAAGAAGGCGTCCATCGTACAATATTAGGCGAATGATCTCTATTCTCTACTTTTATCCATTTAGATAGATTTACCCTAGAGAAAAAGTATACAGAAGGTATACACAATTTCTGTATATGTGTATACAGAGTTTCTATATCCGTATATTGAATATGTATATCCTATTCCTCATTTATACATATATTGATCTTCTGTATCAATGAGGATACAGAAGAGGACCTTTACGAGTACACATGTATATTCAACTTGTATATCCAGATATAGAGAACTCACAACTGAATATACGTATAATCAATTCCTGTATACGGATAAAGCCAAAATACTAGATGAATATCAGGATATACAAATTTCTGTATACTTTTTGAATATCCATTTTCTCTAGGGTATAGAGGAACATGGCGTTTCATTTACGTTACTGGACTCGATTTCTGCTCTATTCTGCTGCTGCGACGTAACGTTAGCATTCGCGTTTGTCTACGACCAGATTGGCAATACTAGATTTACATAATTTTCCAATATTGCGCCAGTATATTGTGCTACTAGGGCCCGTTAAAATCCTATTGAGATAACTAGAATAATGATTAGCCTCTTCTACGTTGAATTTCATTTTTGGCCTAGATTCCGATTTAAATCGACTCCTGTCCTTGGAGGTAGCCCAAGCCAGCTAATCCGAGAAGACTCCAGTGTCTGAAAAGTTACTGTGCGGTGCCATGTCGCAACTTTTCCTATAGCAGATGCTGGAAATGTTTCCTACGGACACACAACATGCTCCCTAATTAATTAATTGATTGGTATTTGTCGCTGCAAAAGTACCATGAAAGTACACGTACGTGTCGCGCGAGAATCGCTGCGATGTTACAACCCAAATCGCGAATTTACGAGTTTGTTGCAAATTGTTAAAATCGAGCCCCCACGCGCACACGACGCGGGCAAAAAGAAATGCCCAGGTTTGGTTCAAGTTCAGGCATAACAGATAGAACCGCAAATAGAACCGAAGCTTCCGCCACCACAGGTCCCGCCGCGTCCGGCGATTGGTCGATCGGTCAGCTGTGCGAGGAGAGCCGGGCACTCGGTGCAGTAGGTGCAGCTCCACCTCGCTCGCCGCGTCGGAAAACGGGACGTCTCGCCCCTTCGCTGTTCGCGCCGTGCAAATTCGCGTCGTGCGCCACGTGAAATAAAACTCTTTCGCTCTTGTTCTACCGTCCACAAGTTTCTCCTGCCGCGCACGTTGGATATTCGCCGCGTGCAACGAGCGCGACCGTCGGGTCTAGCAAAGGGCGGGGGATTTGAATCGTCGCGCGCGCGGAGTCGAAACCTCGGGCGTGAGTGCCGCGCGGACGTGGCGCGTTCCCCCTCGTCTCCCCCGCGTCTCCTTCTCGTTTCGCGCTCGTACGCGACGCACCTCGGCGCCTTTTCCGCGGGTCGGGCGAACTGAGGAGAACGACGCGGCGTGGAAAAAATATCCTCACGGCCGCGCGCGTCGGCGCGCGTGTCACCCCGCGGACGTGCGCGTAATTGTGGTCACGTGACGCGGCGGTCGCGTTTATTTATAGACGCGAGTGTCCGTCAGATTTCTGGCAGACGCGCGCGTGTGTTTGTGGCCGCGCGCGCTCGGCCGTGGACGCGCGCGCGACGAGCGCCACTCGTGACGGGCGCGCGGGGGGGTGGCGAGGTGAGCCGGGGGTGTCGCTGGAACATGTGACGAGACTTGCTCGACTTGCCGAAAAGATAGGAAGGCTGCGCGCGTGGACACGGGCGTCCGTCCGCGAGGGACGGTTTTTCAAGGCCGGGGGGTGTCGATCACCCGTGAGGAAACGATGCGCGGAGGCGCCAGCTGGGAATCAGCCCCCCCGACGTTTCTCCACGGCTGGCGGTGAATGAGCGCGAGAGCTATGTCGAAGCCCGACGCGCCGAAGCTCGTGACGGCGCTCTTCTCCTTCAAAGGGACGAACAACGACGAGGTAAGCGCGGTTACCCCGCCGCCCCTTCTCCCCCCAATCCCGTTGTAAACATCGCGGCGCGCCAGCTAGCTAGCGGCTCGTCGAACGGCGAGTCACTTCTCGCCGGGGTGTTGTCGTAGCTTCTAAAAATATACGCGTTTACGCGCGACTACACGAGACACCGTCGCTGTTCCAGTTGTGCTTCAAGAAGGGGGACGTGATTGCGATAACGCAGGTGGACGACGAGGGCTGGTGGGAGGGCACGCTGCACGACAAGACTGGTTGGTTCCCTGCGAACTACGTCAAGGAGTACAGAGCCCCGGGTAGGACAACTGTTGCATACTGCGAGCACTTTAAATGTAGAATCTCACCCGTTTACGATCCCTTTCTTTTGATATTCTGCATACTTTTAATATATATTCTGTATGCTCCAATGTAAATAATAGCATACCTTTCATATGGTGTGTGTACATGCAGATGGTGGCCATGCGTCGATTAAGACGTCTCCTGATAGGAGTCCGCAAGAGTCGCCTGCGCACCAGAAGCTCAATCGCGACATAGTGTTGAAGGACATCGTCGATTCGGAACGAGTGAACGTAGCCGAGCTGCAAGGACTGGTGAATAATTTTTTACAACCTCTCGAAGCGTCGAACATGTGAGTCATGTGCTCGATTGGATACGAGAAAGCCATGTTACGTGTCGTGTATAATAGAAATCTGTGCGTAGACTGAAGAAAGACGAGTATAAGCAGCTACTCGGTAACATACACGAGGTCCTGGAGACTCACCAGTGTTTGTTGGCAAACCTGGAAGGCACCGTTCTGCAAGGGCTCTCTGCAAGAGTGGGAAATCTCTTCCTGACTATCGCGCCAAGACTCAAGTCTATTCACGCCTCATATTGCAATAATCACCCGCAGGCTGTTTGCATACTAGATAGGTACAGGTGGGTATCTGGCAAGTGTTTCGTCTCCTTTCTCGACGGCGCTGCATCATGAGTCGAGTCTGTCAGCTTGAAACTTGGAGGTTTCTGCCCTTCGAGAGACAACACTATTTTCCTCTGGTTACATTGAGATTCGTGTATTATTATTGCAGAGATGAATTAAATGAATTTATGGAGCGCAGTGGAGCGATATCGCCGGGTATACTGGTGTTGACCACTGGCCTGAGCAAGCCGTTTCGAAGATTGGACAAGTATTCTGCTATGCTTCAGGAGTTGGAAAGATACACCGAAAAGAATCATCACGACAGAGGAGACACTCAACGTAGCATAACTGTATACAGGGAAATCGCGGTACGGTTTATCCTGTATTTTCTTTTTTATACAAGTACAGAAGAATATTAATGTTCAATTAAAATTTGCTTGCAATCCATTTTATTTGTAGGATCATTGCGCTGCCATACGTAAGCAGCGCGAGTTGGCGCTTCAAATATTAACTAGCGGAATCAAAGGGTGGGAAGGTGAAGAATTAAATTCACTTGGCGAGATCATTCACGTCGGATCCGTGAATCTGGCAACCGGCGTGGATCGCAGAGATAGATACTTTGTTTTATTTCCTACCACGCTGCTGGTGCTTAGCACCAGTTCCAGGATGAGTTCCTTCATTTACGAGGTAGACTCGAAAGCATCCTTGTCGCGCTGCTTTAGAATTCGAATATATATCGACATCTTAATTCACATTGCGGTCATTTGCCTAGGGAAAACTTCCGTTAACTGGCATTAATGTAACTGGAATTGAAGACACGGACGAAGTACGAAATGCTCTGGAGATTACTGGTACGGCTGTTGACATTTTAGTCAAGTGTATCATGATTCTACCTTGCAAGGCAGAAATGCTATTTTGCGACTTGGGAATAGGAAAGTCTACCAGACTACACTCCTCTTTCCCAAGTTACAAAATCGCAACAATTACCTCTGTAAAATAATGACGTAAATACGTGTGCTTTAAGGACCAATGATCGAAAGCATCGTCGTGCTGTGTGCCACGAGGGAAGAGAGGCAGCGTTGGATCGATCTCTTGATTCAGGAACAATGCACCAGCCACCTGAAATCGCCAACCATGCCCCGTGTGAGTTGCCATCATCCTCCGTACGCTCGACTCTCGAGATACTTTGCGAAGCTCGTGAGGAGAAAAGTCATACAGCCTGAATTAATGAAGAAATTGTTGTACATTCAATATGTCTTGAGGCCGGATTTGAGTAACGTGAAAATGAGAAAGTGCAATGTGACGTATACTATTTTTCCTACTAGCGAAGGATCGGAGTCGGATACACCCACTGAAAGTAATGTGCAAGAGGAGCCGCGTATATTGCGTAAATCCTCGTTGATACTGGACGTTAGATATGTAATAGACAATACCGATCTTAGTACCGTCGGAATAGCGAGCACTTCCTCACTCACGAATTTCGCACCGAGAGTTAATTGCGACAATCGATGTACCTTCGAGACTAGTAAGAGCTTACCTGCCGGCGCTACAATGAGTCACGTCCTGCCGAACGTTCCGCTCGCGTCAAGCAAGTCGTACACGTCAAATCTTCAAGCACGTAATAAGTTTTGTCGGGAACATTTGGAAATGCGACATGGCAGAGATCACAGCGATCTGGCTGTGAATTACAAATATCTGAAAGCGATCGAGGAGTTTTATCCAAACAACTCGGACGTGCCGGTCCGATATTCCATGACCTCCGCCCAGAACGATAATTGCGATAGCGTCGGGAGAGAATTTCGAGAAACGTGCGCAAACAGTAGCTTACGGTCCTCGGACTCCGGCATGGCCGAGAGTTATCACTTACGTTCATCCGAAGTCAATTCCTGTTACAAGTCATACGCATCTAGTCATACTAAGTATACAGATCCCGTAAGAACGTCTCATAGCGAAAGCGATAATGATGAGAATAAGTTCGAGCATCAGTGTATTTGCACCTCGCCGTTTGGCTCTACGCCTCGAGATAGCGCTCACTCGCTGGCTTCGTCGAAAAACGTCGACGAATGTACAAGCTTGGCGAGATCCAACGATGTCGGTGGTAGCGATGCTAACGATAATCCTGATAATAGCGAGAAGAAAGTACAAGAAACTGTGTTAATTCAACCTCTGATAAATTATGGGAATGAACAAGGAAAAAGGTATACGCAACCGATACCATATGCGCACCAGTGCGTAGTTAAGAAAATCGGGAGACGCGTAGTTCGTCCAATCCAGCCGATTATGGAGGAACATGACGAGCCAACAAATCAAGTGTACTCATCTGGATTGTACGCTCATTGGTGGCTCAAGAAGTCTATCCCGATATTTGGATGCACGGAACAAGGCAAGCTTCCATGGCATGGCTGTTCCTTTGATCATTTCAGTTTTTCTTTAACCACGCTGGTGTTTTTACTAATTATCATTTTCTACCAAAGAAATCGTATGCTTTTATTTTCACAGCCATGTTGTGCGAAGTAAGCTGTCGCTTTACTAACACAATACATTATAGAATAGCCCTCGGAAAACACATCACAAACTTTTGTGCGTATGCCTTTATTTTATCACGTCGCAACCATCAGTCACTTCGCAAAAGATTATAGTTAGCTTGATTTTTTAGTATAGACGCAACTTTAGTCTTCAGGTAGGGCGTGCACTCCAGAGTAATATAATTACAATCATAGTGTTTCTCTTTTCCTCTCTTGTATTTTTTAGATTAAGAAATATTTCTATTGAACATAGAACCCTGCCAAAAACAATAGTAAAAAAGTATATATATATATATATATGTGTGTATATTTTATAACGTAAATTTCACAGAAACGTGCATGCATACGATAGAAACGATTCTAATTGTGTACTGATATTGTTGAGATATTACAAACGATGTGTTATACGTATTGTAGCAGACGATCAGTCAGCCAAACGGGAAGCACCAACGACCGGCAATGGAACACTGTACATCTCCAGGGATTAAGACACCTTGGAGTGTCGCATCACTAAGACCCGCTCCTCCCCTGTATTCTCTTAAGAACTTTGGAAAAATAGATACTACTACAGATACATCACGGACACCACGATCATGCAGTAAGATTGTTTTAATGTTTTAATACCAAGATAATTGAGTGAACATTTATTGATCAAGTTTGCAAACGATTTTCTATTCCACGTTGTATGTTACAGATGAGCGACAGTTTGAAGACGATGCGATCATATTGAAAGTAATAGAAGGTTATTGTCTTTCCGTCAATGCTAGGTTTACCGTACATTCTGGAGAGTCTAATTGTAAGTTTAATTCGTCTAATAGCTGTTGAAACTTTTCGACGTGTCTTTCTATTACGAAGGAATTATGCTTCTTCTTTTTTTCAGCAATGCTAGATTACGAGTCTCAAAAGTCGCGGGACAGGATATCATTGACGCATAACAGAGGCAACTGGGAATCTTGCAATGACAGGTGAATATAGAGATACGTCTCGAAATGATACATCTTTTTACCTTTTTCAAAGCGAATCTGTTTGAATTCGATAATTTTTATGAAAATCAGAAATACTTTATCACTGAGACGGGAAACTAATAGTCAACCCAACTGGCTAATTATTTAATCGATTTATTACACAACGTTTCGACCCTATTTTTCCTTTTCGAGTGATACTGAGTCAATCGTCGTCGTCGAATAAGACAGAGTCGAGTTATAAAATATATGTATACGTGTGAGCACTGTGGTAGTTGGGCTCGAACTATTAGTTATATATTTCGAGCCCAACTACCACAGTGCTCACATGTATACATATATTTTATAACTCGACTCTGTCTTATTCGACGACGACGATTGACTCAGTATCACTCGAAAAGGACCCAAAAAAATAGGGTCGAAACGTTGTGTAATAAATCAATTAAATAATTAGCCAGTTGGGTTGACTATTAGTTTCCCGTCTCAATTTCTAATCATTACTGGTGACAATAAGCAAACTCTCCTTCATACTTTATCATGTCACTGGTGAAATTCTCTTCTGCTAATCTTTTGTTTATGCTTTAGAGATTGCATTCATAACAATTGCGTCAGAAATTGATAACAGTGTGTAACGTGATAGTATTAAATAATTGATGTATACGTTAATGCTTATTAACTTTTTATACACAGAACATTATCGGAAACGGTTAAAACCTTGAAGAACCAAATGACTGACTTACAGTCGCAAATGTCGCTGCTGACAAAACAATTGGACGAAGAGAGAAGATCGCGACTCTCGCTGGCGGCCACGGTAAAACGCAGCATGGGAGTCATAGACGGATAAGGATGTCGTTCAAAGAATCAAGAAGAGTGTTCAAAGATACATTTTTCACAGTGTTCATTTCATATATACGAGTTTTAATCATGATATACGTCGCGTGTTGTTGGAATGTTTTCATAAAGTTTACTATTTTTATGATGTATGTGATAAAAATAAGATAGAAGCATATATATGTAAAGAAATTATTTATGTATTTTTTTAGCATATTGTACACAGTCTGCAATCAAAAGAAGATACTCAGCAAATTGTGTCACGTTATTACAAGATACATAATCGGCGAAGTCGTCGAGTATTGTCCTTGCCATGCGGTTTGTAGCGAAAATGGTGTGCAATTTCATTTCTCGCGACAAAACCGATTACAATGAAGATATCAACAGGATGGTAGGGGAAGGTTCTTGATTAACAAAAGTAATATAAATTTATTATGACAGAGTCAGAGGGGGGGGGGGCTGTCGCCGGCAACATTAATGTAATGTTACTCGTCATTTACAATATGTACCTTGGAAAATTGTGCCCTTATCGCAGCTTGTTCTTTATACGTTCCAATTCGTTAACTCTACTTCGCGCGTGTTCCAATCTGTGCCAGGCCATTTGCAGCACCTTTTGACTCGCGTATCCAGAACCCTCGTGCGGTTGACCTGCGAGGAACGTAACGTGGAAATGAAGAGGGAAGGGGAATCGACGCAAGGACGACAAGCAAATTTCTACGTACCAGTGGAGACCTGTGTGAGATAATTAATCTGCTCGCTCAATTTGGATTCCAATTGTCCCAGAGTCTTGAGGAACTGATGCGTCTGCGACTCCGCCTGCTTCAGGCTCGATTTCTCCTTGCTGAGCTCCAGGCAAGCTTGTCCTGCGCAACATAAAGCACACCTTGATCGTACATTTGGAACGCTAGAAAACCACCGATGCCTTCCCAGAATTTGGCCAGAAAGGTTTCAGACGTTTCGCCTCGTTTCGCGCATTCGCTGTGCGGGTTCAACTTGTACTTCAACACACGAGGGATTCGTGATCAGGCGGACGACAAGAGACCGTTCAGCCTGGCGTTCAATTACCTGCGCTCTGCAAACATATTATAATGTCCTTTTCGATCGTCTCCAAAATCTGGATTCTCTCCATCGGCGGTGTCATCGCGGCTGCTTCGTAGCCCGCGTCAGCTTGGACTACCTGAAAAGGCGAGGTTATTCAACGCTTCTGCCGAGGTTCCTCAGTGAATTTCGCTCATATCTCGCTCCGATTTGTTCGCGGGCGTCGTAAAAGAGATACCGAGAAACGTTAAAATGCCGAGCGACGATAAACAAATCGATGCCGAACAGGATTTTGGACCGACTCGATAGGTTAGGTGCGAAAGACAGGCATACAGGAGCGTCACCGAAAGTAGAGGCCGCCTCTGATCAGAGCCTGGCCATAAGGAAGCGCGCTGTGATTGGTCCACTATTTTTCGCCAATTCGCGCCAATTTCATAAAGCGTTTATTCAGTTTGGCTTCCTCGCCTCCAAAATCGAACAAAATTAGGCTCATTCAACGCGTTTTCGCTCAAAACGAAAGAATCTGGCAGGAAAAAGTGTTGCTCTGCCCCGCGAAGCGAGATATCAATTGTTAAACGATAAAAAGAATTGTTAGACGACTTAGGCTGGCAAATGGTTTATTTATTCATTTAATCCGACGTTTCGACCATGCGGTTTGTGGTCCTTTTCAGGGAATTCAACATTCAGGGATCTACAATTATTTTATAAAACAAGACGCATCTTACAGTCGTGTCAATTGAGAAACAAAGTCAAGGATAAGTAAAAACGAAACGTCGGATTAAATGAATAAATAAACCATCTGCCAACCTAAGTCGTCTAACAATTCTTTTTATCGTTGAACATTCACTGGCGATTCACATTCTAAAGTTGTCAATTGTTAAAGTTGACTATTGTTGTGGTCGGTATGACAGGTTTCTTGACTAATAAAATAGCGAATTCGACAACTTGCACTAGTGCACATTGAGGCTTGTTTACAGTAAATTCTTATATTTAAGGTAGTCATTTCGTAAAATCATTTATGTGATAATTGTTTCAAATCTTTACAGTTTATTCTTTATATTAAAATAAGACTAATTAAATTTAAATTGACCGCCTCAAAGTTCTAAAACGAAATGTTAAAGTTGGCTATGTTGCATGAAATATTACGTGTAAAACACGTTAAAAATACTATAACACGTGAAATATTATTTACAGTGCAAGCAATCGAATTTGCTATAAGAAAAATTGGCGGCTACTACGAATTCAATATTCGCCAATAAAATACCGAAAATAATCAGACATTCATTAAATTTCGTTCTCTTGGAAACTTATACTGACAAACTTACGATGTACGATTTAATTCGCGCGTATTCATATGCAATAAGTGAATGCATTTTTTACAAGATACAAAAGGAAATCATTCATGTTTAATTTCTCGTAATCGATCTCATACGAAATGTGAAACTTACGTTTCGTGCTGTGATTGACCAAAGCTCGTGACACGATTGAACAAACTCCGTGGAATGATTGATGAGACTCCGTGGCACTTTGTATAACACCTGAGCACTAATCACATGCGACGGGAAATTAAGAGAACAAAAATATACGATTGCACAAAGTTACTATTTGCACTCGGTATTCCTTGTAAATTTATCCGATAGTATGAATTTCAATCAACAGAAATCGATGCGTAAATGTCAAATTTAAACTACCGATGAGAAAATATATTACGTAATATTATGTGTGGGATATAATTAAACACGGACAAGATTAATTGACACTTAATTTTTCACTTGAACGTATCGCGATGATGTTCGACTCAAAGTTCTGCGATCACGCGACGATATCGTTCGCCGATTATTCGCAGAGATCGCGATCGCCGTTTCTTCCCGTACTTGTCGCGAACGCGTATCGAGAAATAATAATACCTACGACACGCGGAGCGGCGCGGACACAACCGACTCGTTCGACCGTCGTCGCGTGAATGATCTTGCGTACGGCGCCGTAAACACCTCGGCCGAACACCGAGCGCGGATTCCAAAAAAACGAAAAAAACGTAACGTAGTAAACAATTCGGTCGCCGAGCCGAGATTCCGAGAAATGACGTAGCGCCCGACCGACCTCGGTCGAAAAACAATCTATTGAGCCGAATCAGTCCGCGCGGATCAGTCGAGCGAGACGGACGTTCCGTGTGTCTTCGCGTCGCGATCATCTCCTACGAGAATCTCGATCGTCTACGCAACGCGATCGTCTCGTACAGGAGTTATTCACATTAGAGACGAATCTATCACGGTCATTTGAATACAGGAGAGCCGCGAGGATATCGATTGCGCGTCAACACGTTCGTATTTCTCGCGCGTATTTGCGCACTTATTCGGGACGCATCGCGCGAGCGAAACCGAAGTGATTCTCCAACGCGCCGTCGACTCGCGTAGTTCGCGTCCGCCGCGGCCGCTGCGCGTCGAGACGAGAAGGGACGCGAGTCGCGCTGTCGTTCGAACCGCCGGTCACGAGTGTCACGGGACGAAGGGCGCGATCGTCCCCCGCGCAGTTAAACGATGCCACAGCCGCGATCGAGCTCTTCGAGTCCGCGAGTACCGTGGGACGTCGTGCTCGTCCTTCTCGGAGAACGAACCTCGTTCGAGATACGGAAAGTGGAAACCGTCGAATCGTGCTCGCCTCCCTTTAAACAAGTAAGTAAAGTTGAGTAAACCGTGAGGAGACCCGCGAAGGTGTCGATTGCGTCGTCGACGTGCGTATTTCCCGAGTGAGCGCGTTTTTTCCAGATACATCTCGTCGTTGACTTGACTCGCGCAGCACCGCCGTTGTAGCGCCGCGCAGTGGCCGCCGGGAACCGGCGCCATGTTGATCCGTTCGAGGAGCCCGTGGACACGCAGCGGATCGGTCCCGTGAGTTGGTCGTCGCGTCTCGCGGTACGCACGATCGCGGTAAGTTCGCTCCATTGTCCGGCGTAACAGTCGCGCGACGTAGATTCGACTTGGCGCGTCGGTAATCCACCGGGACGCGTGAATCCGCGAAATCCCGGCCGAAATGTCTCGCGCGGTCGGCGTCGCTACGGCGCCGTCGTGTCCTCGCGCGCCCCGAGTACACCGGGCTCTTCGGTTTCAATTCTCAGCTCCTCGCGCGTGCAGCGATACCCGAGTTTCCCACGCGCGACGCGCGGCGAGAGGAACGTTCGCGCGAAATCGCCCCGTCGAACGCACACGCACTCGGTTCCCTTTTTCGCGACGCGCGTGAAGTTGGCTGCGCGTACGTCCGCGAGTCCCTGCCGCCAGAACGTTGCCGCTCAGCGAGAAATGACTCGTCCATCGGCGTCGATCGACGAATTATTTCTCGTCGGGCGTCAATTCGCACGACGCCACCTCGCCAGACGCGGCTCGTATTTTCTCGCGCGCAATCGCGCCTCTCGCTCTCTCGTTGCAGTAGAGTCCGCGTCGATTAACGCCGGGAGTGCCGTGTCGTGCGTTACTTCGGTAATTAGCGCGCGCGATCGCAAGTAGCTCCTCTTGCGCGAGTGCAGTGTTGTGCCGGTGTGAAATGGAGGAGTCTGAGAGGAGGTGGCGGCCTGGGGGGCATCGGGCGACGGCGGAGCAACTCTCTGGTGAGTAGAATTATTTATGCATTATTATCGCGCCAACTTCATTTTCGCGCATCGTTTTTCATTTCGTGTACAGTTAATCTGTTTACCAGTTTATCATCGAGTCGTTTGATTTCACTGTTACTTTGAAATGACAATTAGAAAAGAAGAAAACTTGAAATTTTGTAAAAGTTTCTTGCGAAGATCTTTCGCGATGTAATCTTTTTCGTATCTTTCTCTTGTCTCGAGTAGAAAGTTGGGTATGTTTAAAAATCATATTTTGCAATATTGGCTTTGTTGAACACTGTTGTAAGATCAATTTTATTTGTTACAGAATCAGCGCAGCTACGTGGCAGTTATACAACTCCGCTGTTGCGCATCGGCTCGGTGAGTAAGCATTTGTTTTTATTGAGGTAAAAGAATCGGCAGAGAAACCGATTTGAATAAAGCAATTGGATGGAGTAAAATGAGGATATACAAAGAATTCCGATAATTAACGACAGGGTAATTGATACGTGGTCACTAAGCAAGTGAAAATTTGTATATTTGCAATTGAATATCAACGCTTACATTGAGAGTAAGACTTTCATAAGATTGGTAAGATCGCGTTGAAATTACACTCTACGTTACAACGAATATATAACGTGATACTAATTTTGCGTAAAGCAAATAATTATTCGCTAAATGCGCCCGTTTATTTATACATGCCAGGCGATTAAAAATAATAAAATTGAGACTGCTGGTACTGCTGGTGATCCATGCGTTGAGGCTTTTAAAACTGATAGTATAATCCATATTCTCCCGTTATCTGTTATAATTGAACCTGTATGCATACATACAATAGGGATAAAGATCAGAAATGTATTAGCAAATAACATAAAAAATTTTAATTAATTATTATCACACAATTCTATTTTATTTATACGGACATATTCTAGTATCTTAATTATTGAATCGAAATTAGTATCTTTTTTATTCAAATGTCGGAAAAATCGAATCTTCAAGCCGAAATATATTATTTGTATTCGGTACTTGCGCTATCACTTGCATATGAAAATTAATCAATTGCATTTGGATATTTAGGAAATATGTAAATATATATCAGATACTAGAATATTTTAAAAATTAAATAAAGACAGAGGCTATGTGCTGAGTTAGGTCCCGCAGTTGAACGTTGAGACGTTCGTTTTTTTGCGACAACGTAGTTTTTTTATCTGTTTAGTCGTTGATAGAATTATTTTTAATTTTAATTTAGATAATATTAAATTTGAATCATTAGATTTTATTACAGATTTGACTATATAAGATTACTTAATTTGAATAGTTAGTTGGGACATTTATAAAATATGTACGTTAAACATTTGATACACATATGCAATTTTATGTCTTGAGCCATTAAAATGTTCTTTTATATACAACAAACGTGACTATCACAAAATTGACTGTTTGACATTTAAAGACATAAAAATTGTACAAATATATATTTCTACAATTTTTATGTCTCTAAATTTAAACAGTTAATTTCGTTGATAGTCACGTTTGTTGTATGTAAAAGAATACACATATACATATATAAGTGTATTAATAGCTCAAGAAAAAGAAAATTGTAATATTTCTAACATCCATTGCTGATTTTGATTTCTTGCCGCAAGCCATTTGATTGTGATGTCTTCAGTTGCTGATTGTTCTATTACTATAGTCACGTCATTATTTCCAATCTTTGAGTCCGAATAATCATTTATAGTATGATATATATTTGTCCAAGTGAGAGAGCTTAGGTTGTCTATTCCGCGAAATATCCTGAAAGTATACGATAGTATTTTATGCAATTTCTGTTACAATTCTGTGTATGGAATATTGAGACTGCCAGGTATTTACGTCTAATTTCTTTTTATACTTCACTCGTAATGGCTTCTGGATGGAGTCGTCCGCGTCCATTTGCACTATTGGTAGATGAGAAGGTATCAGGACGTACTAAACAATTTGTTATAATATTTGCATTTCGGAAATATATATTCGGAAATGTATAAAATATTACTACGACAAACACACCGACATAGTTTCGTCTTTCTTAATCTGATATTCTCTAACGGATTAAACATCAAAGATATATGTTATGATACAGAACTAGATGCAAACACATTATTAGTTCATCAATAACGATCACTCCATTACACTGTCGGCAATATGCCTCAAACTCGCTAATTGGATAAAAAAAACAGCTTTGTTAAAAAAAAATCAATATCCGTATCCATATTCGATTATATTTCTATTATGCACAGTACAGTAGAATGTGTGCTACTAAATATGATACCCCGACTAAACTGTGGAAGATGTTCGGGACAGTTTGGACAAAGTTGACATGTAGGGGAAGCTAAACATGTAAATCCTTGTTAAAACGTAAACACTAATATAGTTTGAATTTTCATAACAATTGTGCCGTAGAACTTCTAATAATTTGTTTTTCTCGTAGGGGACAAACAATACTCACAGAAATCTTTAGATTAAGATACACGTTAAACCATTATGGTAATAAATTAAAAAATAAAGCTTAGCAAAATTAGCGGAGAAACTGATAAAAAGTAATTCGGTTAAATATATTTTCCGATCTTTCAGCTTAAACTTACAACAGAAATGGTAAAGGAATATACCATTAAAGTTACTTAGATTATGTTAGTAGTATTTACATTTACAACAGTAAGAAAAATGACAAATTTTTTATGTATTAAATCTATTGAACTAATAACACATAAAAGCTATTTGCTTACTAGTCTACTTGAAACATATCTTTGAATCTTTATCATATGACAACTTTAAGACTTTCTGAAAAGACGTCGGGAAATATTTTTCTCAAGACATATTTTGCAGTATGTTAATATTAGTTAAAATTATGAATATCAGACTCTCGCTTTAGATGTTAGAAAATTTTTGCGATATCGAAGAGTAACCCGCCTCTAGTATACTGGACGCATGCCGCGTAAAAAAAAATGATATAATAATCCGCCAATCGAAAAGATAAACCGTATCTCCCGTAGAATGAGGGAAAAGCTAGTTGTTCTTTTAGAAAGCAGTCTTTTGAAGTTACAGGATTCTTATATAAATTATCTATAATGGACTATGACGTTATTCGAAAGCCAAGACATTCTTTTAATCTTAACACTTCGTTGGATGTTTCATTATACATTTATAATTATACCATCACGAAATTCCAACGGAAGTATAAAAACTAATTCCGCAACGTGTAAAACTACATTCTTCTCGATCTCGTCATTTAACACGCTTCAACATCTTGCGATCCGAAAGGGACGCATCATCACCCGATAACAATACTGTCGTCGTTTACGAATGTGTACTCGGGTATCTCCAGATTGGTCGATGCAGGACCTTTCCGTATGCGTCCGGCAGCGTCGAAGTGCGAGCCGTGACACGGGCAAAAGAAACCGCCTCGTATGATACCGGCGTTTGGAATCGGTATACATCCCAAATGCGTACAAACGCCCAGCACAACTAGCCATTCCGACCTCTTCGCTCTGTCGTCGTCCGTTTCCGGGTCGCGCAGCTCTGACACGTTCACAGCTCTCTCCTGCTCGATGATCGACTGCGGTCTGCAAAATTAACCCCGTTAGCGATCGAATGTTGTTAGGAGTATTAAATATTCCTCGGAAATTTGCTTTAAAGTCCGTAAAATTTCCACTTTATTCTGGGAGCTTATTGCCTTGTGCCCTGTCAACCGCACTGTATTCTCCAAGCCCATTTGCTACTTGTTAATTTCACTACGAGATTCTTGAGAATCCTTCGTTATTTATCCACTTATTGGTATTATTTTTATAAGACATGTCTATGTATATGTATATACATATGTATAATACTCTATTCTAAAGTGCACGGAGCTCTGAACAAGGATGACTGTACTCTCTTAATTTAAATTGGTAAAAAGGATAGCAATTTTAGATTCGAGCGACACAATTAAATTTTTTAAACTACTAAGAAAACCATGGAAAAGAATTGGTTTTATATTTGTTTTGCGGATAACGGCATTCAACAATAAGTTTCAGCAGCCAAATCATTTAATTATGACGGTAGTGATTGTGCGACACTAGTGCGTGTTCGCTTTATCCTGCTTTTTCCTAGTTATTGTTGTTTTTTATTAATTGTTGATTCTCTTACCGATGATAGATAAAAACAGGTTTGCCGCGCCATTTCACGATTAACACTTTCCCCTCCGGTATACCGTTCAATTTTACCTCCAATTGAGCCTCCGCCAAGACATCTCGCGAGGGCGACATGAAGAGTACATAATGCAGTAAATGAGCTTTAAAGCTGTACAATCCGGCAACGCAACCAACTGAAAATATTGTATTTAATTTATACACATTATGCCTGATTTGGCTGAAAACTCTACAGAAATATTCTACTTGTTTCTCGTAGGAGACGTGTTTTAATAATGTTTTGAAAATACGTGATAACATTTTTTGAAATCATTACCAAAAGAGACGATGCTTCTCTGCGCCCTTCGCTCATCGGCGCTTCTCTTAGATGATGTTTCGGCATCCTTCAAAGATTTTCGTCGATATTCGTCAAAGTTGGGTTCTGGTATATCGGTATAGGCGTATCTGCGCAATCTCTTAAAGTCTGAATTGAGATAACGCGACAACGATTATACAATAGCATTATTGTCCGTGAAAAGCAGATGGAATTAATTATGCGAAGTTATTCATTATCGATCACTTTTATCGTTACGCTAGTCAGCATTTCCATCATCAATTGTGATTATCATTTTGGGATAATTAATTATCGATTTATTGCAAATATATGTATGATTGATTATAGACTAACCGTATAAATTATGACTGATACATAATGATAGACTCATTAAGATCAATTAATCGTGAAATACATGCTAATACATAGTAATACGAGAATCCCGTTACGTGGCAAATGCTATTGTGTTTTTTACCGGGGTGACAAGTTTCTTCTGAATATAATTTAGAAACAGTTATTCAGTATTTAGGTTTAACACTTTTCCCGAGATAAATTACGTAAATGATCTAATTTTTCATATGGATACTTGCAGTTAATTCGACATAATTGTAGCAAGGATGAGAAGCGTTTGTCGTAATTTGCAACGAAAACGTTCAGCACGTGTTTTTTCGGAAAAAACATTTTTATTAATAATAAAACGTATTTGATATATTTATTACGTCGCTTTAAAATATTTGGCACACGCATTTAACGCCTGAAGTTTAGCAAAATTCGTACTTTTTCTCACTTCAATTGTTAATATCACTAGTCCATCGCATTTGGTAATTAACAATTGTGGGTGCGTTCCGTTTCTCGCATGATGCGCATGATGCATCATTTATCCTTGTTATTCGCAAAATGTTAAAGAAGGATAAATGATACATTAGGCACATCATGTGTGAAACGGAACGCACCCTATATTAATTTAATAACAATTCAAAGATTAACAACTTTACAATTATATATCTGTATAAAATTTTATCAAAAATATATCTTTGTATAAATTCCAAAAATCATTTACATTAATATTTACAGACGCCACAAGCTACGAACTGGCAAGAAAAAGTGCCGGTGCAAATTTAGCTTTCTCTTCTAATTCTTAATTTCTTGACATTGAAAAATTTATCAGAGTCGTTGAATTATTTGTCAACGAACGTAAGTAAAAAGTACGTGATTTCTGGAAAGTATGTCACATAAAAATATCTGGCATCTATGTGGACGTAGAAAAAGTAATGTTGCACATATGGATATATAAATTACAATCTTGAAAACAAAGTTACAAATAATACTATGAAATAAGTAGCGGTGTAAAAAGATATTCTATTCGCATCGTTACTGAAGTCCCTCGAATAAATTCCAAACGTTACCACATTGTTTATACTGTTATTTAGGTACATGTTAACGTGCACATGGTCGTCATGAACGTGTTCATTAAATGTCCACTGTTTAAGCGGAAGTAAATCTGGACTTAACGTAGACGGCATAATTAAATTGTTCTTATAATCGTGAAACGTTGCCGCAATTTCAATATTGTTAAACACCACTTCTGATGTGTTCACGGAACCGCATGACGAAACTGAGTCGTTTGAGCATTGAATTATGCCACATGCACGTACGCGAGCTTTAACGTTAGAGTAATGACGAATACCATTAAAAACAACTAATCGATACTTTGTTCTCGAGTCTAGTTTCGTAATTTCTACTTTAAACTCGCAGCAGAAGTTATTCTGGCAGACAGTTTCCGTGGCATTCCCTTTCAAGGAAAGCGTTTGGAAGACTTCAATATTGTCGTGTTTCAAAAATAATTTATCATCTGACTTTGTGTCGACCTCCGACCTCACGCATAAGTCGTCGCCTATACGCTTTGTTCCTTGATAACATGGCCAAGCTTTCTCATTCTTGGAATCATCGTGATAGGGTTCGATATTAGTTCTGTCCTTTATTTTGCGTACTTCATATATCAGCAGTTCCTCGTGTGTAGCTGCAGGCATTATTGCCTTACCGACTCCTTTGCGACCTGTGGCGCATGAAACGTTATTTCGTGTATGCATCTGCACGGTAGATAACTCTAATTGCGAATTTAATAACACTTATTAAAATGTAAACTGTAATTTTACACACCTAAGTAAATTCCACTGCCAGCATTGCCAAAATCAGGTCTGTTATAGCCAGAAGCTAAAAGATTTACGTTTTCTGCAAATGACCATCCTGCTTGCGTTTGTACAGCTAAAACGATTAACAATATTAGCGTACATGTTTCGACGGAAAAGGGAAAGAAGGTTTCATCACGTCTCGTTCACCTGTTAAGAATGGTGCCTCAGAAAACCATGCTGTAGTATAGACAATGTCAGTTACTTGATGATCTCTCGTTAATATAATCGGGGGTTCGCGAAATAATATATCGAAACATATAAAAGTTCCAAATTTCACCCCAAAATCAGTATCGAAGGTCACTATTTCCGGTACTGCTGTCACATCAAACGGTTCGTTGAAAAGATTCGTTTTACGGTACCTGTTAATTGTAATAAGACGTATATAATATTGCAATGTGTTTCCCGCAACAGTAATTATAACGAAGAATTAGATACCTGGCAATAATCTTTCCCGTGCGATCGAATACTACGTTGCTGTTGTAATAATAGAACATTTTATCTCTCGGACAAGACACGTTGGCGCAAGGTGCTTTCTCAGCGATATTGATTACCACGTAGATTTCATAATCCCTCGCAGCACATGATATTTTCCTCAATGTCTGCGGATCCAACGTTTCCTTTTAGATTTAATTTATGTCGCTAGTTTCTTACAATACGAAGAATCGTACGTACGTCGCTAACTTGAATCGTGTCGCCGCTACAAGGTATATAATTATCTGAGGGACTAGGAATGACTGTTGTCCAACCTTCCATCTCTTCTCTCTCCGGCAAGTGAACTGTTGTCAAGCCGTCTTCCGGGAAAACGATTATATCAGCTTTCTGAAAATATTCAACACGTTTCAAACAGACACGAGGGACATTTTACTCGCCGGTGATTAAATAACAGACAAGTAATATCATTCGACCAGAACTTTATTGCGAAAAGCATTACCTCGCTCTCGCTGACGTAATGTTTTTCGCAGTGAGTTTCTGCCCGTTCCGGTCGAATAATGTCTGCTTTTCAAATCATTTTTATGACACATCGTCAAGAACTGATTCGTTGACGATGTAACCAATGCTTGAGACTACAGGGTTGGGAAGTAACTCGTTACTTGTAACGAAGTTACAGTTACTTCTTTTTTGGTAACTAACTTAACTTCGTTACTTTCTCTACATCTGTAACTGTAACTTAACTCAGTTAGATTTTTTCGATAACTAGTAACTAATTTAATAGTTACATTAATAGTAACTTTATATGTACTTTCAACCTCCGCAGATTGCATTAGGCCTTGCATTTGCGCATAAACGCGTTGCCGCTTTACAAATCAAATGCAGATTCGATATTTTTATTTCTATTGCAAGGGAGTAACTGCAAAGCAACGATTCGTTACTTTTCGAGTAACTGTAACTGTAACGCGTTACTCTTCAGAATTGGTAACTTGTAACTGCAACTAATTACATTGTTAGCGAAAAAATTGTAACTGTAACTAGTTACTTTTACAAAGTAACTTTCCCAACCTTGTGAAACTATTCTCTTCTAAAGATAATACTCACGACTACTCTACCGGCTGTGTTAATAAGTCTGACGTATGCGTCAGAATTTACTCTGAGAGTCTCGCTGCTGTTAGTTAAATATTTTGGAGGATACTCCACCACGGCTGCTAAGTAAGTCGACGAATTTGGATCTGATCTCTGTAACAAAATATGAATTTATAGGATTTATAGAATAGTTTGCTTCAGAGCGAACGATATAACTTAACACGTTAAAAGTATCAATTATTACTGAACGTAAAAAAGTCGCTTTATGTTTACCTGCTGCGACAGATGCGCACATGCTACCAGCAGATAAACAACGATCCACATTTGACCCATACTCGACAATCTCAACAGTCCTTTCTACAAGAAGAAAAACTGACATTAGCTTATACAAAACCGATGATAGGTTATATAAAAAATAATTTATATAAAAAGAAATCGTCACTCGGATAACGTCGTACGAATAGGAATTTAAGTTGTACGTTTGCAGAAGCGCGAATATAAATTCTTTTCTAATTTAGAAGCAAAAGAAGCTTATGTTAAAGAAGCAATTTTTGTGCTTATATATTTCAGCAAGATTAGAATGTTTTGCAGCAAATCTTAAAATATCTTGGATTTTATATAAAAAAAAATATTTAACTCTCCTTCGCAATTATTTTATCGCGAAAAGTAAGCTCCTGAACGAAAAGCTCTCCGGACATGTGAGAATTTTTTATATTAAAGTATTTGCACTATGCTCCTTGAATATCTGCAAACGTCACGTTCAGCGTATTTACTTAGGTTATTTGCCCGACTTAAAACTTTTACGACTTTATTTGCCTCATGAAACTACGAATGCTTTCCATGCTGCGAATTTTGGAGCATTCCTTATCAACGTCCCACACCGAGTCGACGCCAATCTCGTTAGAAGCAAAACTGAGAGCGCGTTCGTAACGCAGAGACGAAAACATGCCGCTGCGCACGCGAATTGTAAATAGTCAATCCCCAGCTGATCGCGCGAGCCAGGTTTCCCGCGCATGCGCGGCGAATTTGACCGCAGTGAAGTAACTTCGGAAAGGGGTGCCGGTCGTCTCCATATACGTATATTAGTATATAGGCCGGTTAACTTTTGTGCACAAAATAATGCCAGGATAAGTTGCGGACCGCGTAGCAAAACATTTTCACACTTAAAACTGTGTTAATAAGTCTGACGTATGCGTCAGAATTTAGTCTGAGAGTCTCGCTGCTGTTTGTTGAATATTTTGGAGGACACTCCACCACGGCTGCTAAGTAAGTCGTTGAATTTGGGACTCAGTACGGGAATTCTGTAACTTGCAATCGATGCCTTTCGGTAATAGCGACGGCCAATGGCGAGGACGATCTTCGAAAAAGACGCAGATTTTCATTAAGGTTGTTCCCAGGGTTGGGAAGTAACTCGTTACTTGTAACGAAGTTACAGTTACAGTTACTTCTTTTTGGTAACTCTAACTTAACTTCGTTACTTTTTCTACATCTGTAACTGTAACTTTAACTCAGTTACATTTTTTCGATAACTAGTAACTAATTTAACAGTTACATTAATAGTTACTTTATGTATATATTTTCAACCTCCACAAATCGCATTAGGCCTTTTTGCGCATAAACGCCTTTATCCCCTGCCGGAAATAATTCTACAAAATTCTACAAAAAAATTAAATATAACTGCCAGAATCTAAGAAATTCTACGTAAATTTAAAAAGTGTTTATAAAAATTAAAATCAACATAAAAATGTTAGAATTGGAACACTTTTGTTAATTTTTGTAATATTCTACAAGTAAGCAGATGTTTTAATTCTTAAAGATTTCGTTGTTTCTCAAATTTTTAAAGTAAAATAGTAAAGTTTTGTATTAATTTTTACAAAATTGTACATTTTCATGAAACACTACTTGCAATAATTTCTTGATTTGAGAACATTGTAATTTGTGATACTATTTTATAGATATTTTTACAAAAAAATAAATGTTTCAACGAAGATATAAAAATTTCTACAAATTTCTATTTCAAGTCAATTTTTTGTAATTATTTATAAAAATTTTTTCCGCTAAGGTCGCCGCTTTACAATTCAGATGCAGATTCGATATTTTTTTTATTTCTATTGCAAGGGAGTAACTGCAAAGTAACGATTCGTTACTTTTCGAGTAACTGTAACTGTAACGCGTTACTTTTCAGAATTGGTAACTTGTAACTGTAACTAGTTACATTGTTAGCGAAAAAACTGTAATTGTAACTAGTTACTTTTATAAAGTAACTTTCCCAACCCTGGTTGTTCCTAGTTAACATTATCGAAAAACCTCGATAGTAAGTTACAGAATTCCCGTGCAGCTCAGAAGTTTAATGAAAAAGATGTTGGTATTTAACATTTTCAATTTTTAATCGTGAGCAATTTGAAATTGGCTTTATAAAATTACAAAATTCTTCCACGCGATTACAGTACGCATAAAAACAAAGCGGGGAGGGGGGGGGGTTACAACTTTATATAAAGAAAATATGTAGAAAGGAGAGAGTGCCAATGTGAACCACAAAATGAACGGAACTCGGTTCTCACGATACAGAAACAGAATTTCTCTTTAATATGATAAACGTTTCGACCCTTCTTCGGGTCTTCCTCAGTAAGACTACAATGAAATCATCGAAAGTATAATACAAGATGAGAATACAGTAAAACTTAGATATAGATTGGTACAACAATAATCAGTTAAATTACCTCGTCTAGAACGAATAGAGCTTGTCTTAGGAGGTGAGAGCACCATGTGACTGTCTTAAATATCTCCTGAAATATTTTTTACCCAGTAATATATGTGCGGCATTCGTACGGATTATATTTTACGGTTAAATGACTTTGTGATCGTGTATTTAAAACGAAGTTAATTATAAGAATTTATTATAAACAAGCCTTAGGCCGGTATTCATAGTCAGGTCTTATATTTAAGACCGTTTTAAGATTATCTTTAGATACTCCGTAGCCAATGAAATGTTTCGTACAGCAGCTTCAGATAAATTCAAGACGGTCTTGAATATAAGATCCTACTATGAATACCGGCCTTAGTGTACACTCAGTGCGCATGAGGCAACCGATTCGCTATAAGAACAATTCCGAACGTTCGAAAAGAATCGACAGGCTACCGAGAAAGTTTCGCAAAGTGTTAAGGCTGGTCTACAATACATGGAGTAAGCTGGAGTAAAGAGTAGGAGTAAGGAAATAAATCCATTTTATTTCTTACTCCTACTTCAGCTCTCAGGCTTACTCTCGGTGAATCAAAATGCCATCAATCAGTGTTACAATTATTTTAAAAATCATGCCCGTATTTCAGCTTCCTTACACCAAAAGCTAGAAGTTAGGGCTCTCCCTTACTCCTTACTCCACGCTTACTCCACGTATTGTAGACCACGCATTAAGGACCGTCTACATTGGAAGTAAGCAGTAAGAAGTAAGAAAACGTAACCTTTATCTTTCAGTGTAAAAGCTAAAGTACAGACATAATTTTTTTAAATATTTGTAGCACTGGTCGAACTACGCTCTAATTCGCCGAGCGTAAGCGTCAGAGCTGAAGTAGGAGTAGGAAATGGAAATGATCCATTTCTTTACTCCTACTCTTACTTCTTACGCCAGGCTTACTTCATCTATTGTAGACGATCCTTAAGATAATTTTGAATTTACTTATTTTATTTGCGCGAGATCGTTTTATCCGAACTTCCTGCTACCCGATCACCGAAATCTCTAGGCCCTCGGTTTCTGTATCAACCTATATATGCATACGTTCCTGTTTCGTAATTCTGGGGCTGCGCATGTGCGAAAATCCGGGAGGGAGCCTCGATGAGGGAACCTCGCCAACTCGCAAATTCTGATTTTAATGAAACTTTGCATACGCGTAGGCGGGATGAGGAGGTGAGTTTAGAAATTTTCAGCTGCATACCAAGAAGGGTGTGCAGCTTCGAGAGACGGGTCTAGTTTTCAAACGCGAAGTGGTTTTCAGCTTCTCTCGATGTACGCTGAAAATGCGATACGAATAAAACAAAATGCTGTAATAGACAGCGAATTAAGGTCTTCGCGAAACGAAGCCATTTTCGCAAGAATTAAAGAGCGGAACCTCGACCAAACTCCGATTAACTTAATCGGCGATTAACTTATCTAGCTAGTAGTATTTCGTTAACGAGGATAGAATTGTTAACTTTTCCTTATTGTAGCGCGTGGAAAAGGAGAGTTAAGGACGACGAGAATTTTCCCAGACGGCCAAGCGTCTGTCGAATCGAGAACTGGGGAATCAATCTATCCTGGAAATGTTCGGAATAGATTTCGATCGGAATTATTTCCACAGTGTGCTACAGTGTTTGGCTAAACATTGGCTAAACATTGGCCCAATGTCGGTTATATTAGAAACGCATTAGTCGATATTGTCCAACGTAGAGCCAATATTGGCCAGGGAATGAATGTAAATATTGCACAATAATAGTTATATAATATTAGATTTATATTGGAAGGGCATTGTGGCCAATATTTAACAATGTAATAAGAATATTGGCCTGAAATTGATACAGCATTAGACCAATATTGCTGAACAGACATTGGCTAAATAAGAGAAGACGTCCATCTTATAATATTGGACCAATATTGGGAATAGTAGATTTACTTTATTTCCCAATACTGCGCCAATATATTGCGCTACTAGGGTCCGTTTCCTCTGGACAACACAATAGAAATCTAGGAAATAATCGAACAATTCCGAATATTTCCGTGATAGGTGCCTTGATTCTGCAGAGTATTTGTTATAAATTTCGTTCTGGCAAACAAGACGCGGTATTAATACAACGCTTTTGGCAAAGAAATATAGAAAAGTTCGTCAACGAAATACCGATGGCCGATTGATGGTAGAAGTCAGGCAAACTTTGATGTAGGTTTTACTAACACAGTTTGACATAGATTGATGACAGAGTAAAATTTACGACTTATATTCCACTCGATTTCTTGCTCCGATCCGCTATCAATAATATTAGTGAATTCTGTCGGCGAAACGCGAGCTTAATGTGAATATAAATGACGCGAATTTGTTGGTAATTTTCGGCCGAGTTTGCTGTTAATCCGCTACTAAACCGCGCACAGTTTGCACGTTGGATAATGAAAAATTTTGTAAATAATTCAGCCGGTTGAATCGCGGCCGTGATAATATCGAAAAAATCGCGCTACGTTAAAAAATCCGGGAAAAAAACAACGTATTGCGGAGCGTAGAGTTTCGAGACTCGCCAATGAGGAGGATTTCCAGTGGCGAGAAATGATGATCTCTGGCTAATCACCGGAAACATAATTTTCTAGTATCACGGAATATGGAACGGCGCGTGTTTACGTATTCCGTCGTGGCGACTTAATTAGAAAACAATTGGCTGGAAAGAGTTAGAAAGTAGTTAGCATATAACAGCATAATAGCGTCCCCCCCCCCCCGGGCCACGTTTTGTTAGCATCATTTAATAAAGCATTCCCGGGCTCGTATTTGCATAAAACCTTCTTTCCTAATTTTCCATTAGTGGAACACGCCGATGAAGTTTGCGTGGAAAGCGGAGCTACGCGATACCTTGAGCGCAAACTGCGCAAACTGGATTAGGCGGAGCAAGTTCGGGCAACTGTTATATTGTTCAATTGTTGTAAGGTGGATCCGTCGAGAAAAATGATACAATTACCTGGATTAGAATTATCATATGAGCGTAACAGCTCCGCAGCCGCGCAGACAAGTTTCCACCGAGCGCGAGCTCAGCACACGTGAGGAACGTGAATACTACTGGCGCACATCTCGACAGAAACTTTCAGTCCAGGTTCCCTTTCCACGATCGTTCCCCGCCGCGATCGCCAGTGCGGATGCTGATTCGATTTTTTTTCCCCCGAAGCGTTTGCGGTACATTCCGCGGCGATTGGGATCGGATTTCCCCGTGCGCGCTGCGCTGTGCTAATTTAGAAAAGGAAAACTAAAGTTATCTGC